GCTATAGGCGCCGAGCCACTTTAGGTTATTTTAAATGAACTGAGTTTTTCTAACCTGATAGGAGCAGTCTGATAGTACTTGTCAGAGCCTTTTTTTTTTATGTTGCAGTGTATTACAAATCTCAGAGGGAGAGAAGTGTTAGTGTACAGGGTTTCTGAAATTTGATAGTTAAATCCTTTTTATTTTTGAGTACCAACGCACAGGACTATAGAGTTCATTAGCGCACAGTTTGACGGTATTTTTTAGAACAATTATGGATATTTTATAAACTGTTAAATCGTGTGTATAGTTGAACAAAGAAACTAATATTTGGAGAATGTTATATGGTGCTATGTTCCTGAGGTTGATATACAAGGGGTACACTTTTTCTTTTTAAGATGAACTTTTTAGAGTCAAATGCACATAAAAATACCTTACAATTGTTTTTCGCATTGAATAGATCAGGAAATGCCTTGTGTTACAAAAACTCTGTTCAGAGAAGTCTCTTTATACATAAGAAACTATAATAATTGTCTTTTTAAAACTAAACCCTTATCAATATAAAAATCACAGGAAATTTAATAAGTTAGTACACATACCAGAGATACTAAAGTAAGGCTTTTTATTTTTTCTAGCTATGCCATTTTACTTGAAGCAAAAAGTAACAATTATGGCTTATAGTAATTAGTTCTGGAAACATAGAGTATGGAAAGTAAGGTTAGATGGTCTTCATGAGTGAATCTTTTTTTTTTTTTAAGAGTACCATACGTTACTTATTTATATAAAAACATATTTATATGAAAACAAAACTCAAATATTTGAGTCTTCCGCAACTATTTAATCGGATCTTTATAACTACTTTACATAATCTCATTAAATTTATATTAAAATAAATTTGCATTTAACTATTGCAAGTTAATCATGAAAGTTCAGATGATTATTGTCTTGACTTACAGATTTTAGTGATTATTATAGTGGGAATGTCAGGTGAGTAATCCCAGAGGAAGTAATTTCTGATAAATTAGATGTTAATGTCTATTTAGACATTAATGTCAATCCTGTGTTAATGGGCTACAAACGAAGTTGGTTATACCTGTTATTTTGTTTGGGATTTCTCATAACAACTAGTGGCTTATGTTTCAAATCCAGAAAGCACTTATATAAGTATTAGATCTGGGTTCACAAGACTCTTAGACCATGTATATAAAAGCAACTGTCCTAAATGGTTAGCATAAACTCAGCTTTTTTTTGAGACAGTCTCACTATGTTGCCCTCATAGTAGAGTACTGTTCTATCACAGCTCACAGCAACTTCCAACTCTTGGGCTTAAGCAATTCTCTTGCCTCAGCCTCCTGAGTAGCTGGGACTACTGGCACCTACCACAGCGCCCAGCTATTTTTTTGTTGTAATTGTCATTGTTGTTTAGCTGGCCCAGGCTGGGTTCAAACCTATCAGCCTCAGTTGTATGTGGCTGGCACCGTAACCACTGTGCTACGGATGCCGAGCCTATGAACTTGGCTTTTCTACCTTTTTAACCTTTGAAATAATCTGTTTTACTTGGCTGCCTCTCTATTTTTTTTTTTTTTTTTGAGGCAGTTGTTGCCCTCAAGTACCTAGAGTGCTATGGCATCATAGCTTACAGCAACCTCAAACTCTTGGGCTCAAGCCATTCTTTTGACACAACCTCCCAAGTAGCTGGGCCTGCCACAATGCTCAACTATTTTTAGAGATAGGATCTCACTCTTGATCAGGCTGGTCTCGAACCTGTGAGCTCAGATAATCCACATGCCTTGGCCTCCCAGAGTGGATTATAGGTGTGAGCCACCTCCTGGCCGTACCTCTCTATTTCTTGATGGAGTAGTTGGATCTTCTAAATTATATTTAGTATTTATCATATTTATTAAATATTTGATTTAATTAGATATTATTTATTTATTTTGGCTGGGGCTGGGCCTGAACCCACCACTTCCGGTATATGGGGCACTTCTGGTATATGGGGCTGGTGCCCTGCTCCTTTGAGTCACAGGTGCTGCCCTAGATACTTATTTTTTAAATACTTTTTTTTTGGTAGAGACAGAGTCTCACTTTATTGTCCTCGGTAGAGTGCTGTGGTGTCACACAGCTCACAGCAACCTCCAACTCCTGGGCTTAGGCGGTTCTCTTGCCTCAGCCTCCCAAGCAGCTGGGACTACAGGCACCTGCCACAACGCCCGGCTATTTTTTGGTTGCAGTTTGGCCGGGGCTGGGTTTGAACCTGCCACTCTCCATGTATGGGGCCAGCACCCTACCAGCTGAGACACAGGCGCTGCTCTTAAATACATGTTTTAGAAACCTATTTGAGGCTTAAGGTTTTTCTTCTGAATTCTTTAAAGACTGGAATTATTAATACTGTCTTCCATGAAAACTACACTCTAGAACATGTGTGTCAGCTATCTGAATGAAGAATGGTAGAGAGAAGCTTTGCTACCATCCTCTACTACTGACCTTTAAAAGAGAGCCATTTGGGTAGCACCTGTGGCTTAAAGGAGTAGGGTGCCGGCCCCATGTGCTGGAGGTGGCAGGTTCAAACCCAGCCCTGGCCAAAAACTGCAAAAAAAAAAAAAAAAGAGACATTTATTAGAATATTTTCTGACTGGCTGGAAAAAATGTGACTTTTGAATTAGTTATATATACTGTTATATACACTTGTATATTTTTAATATATATGTATATATAAAATTTGTTTTTTACTATTGAGAAAAGAATCCAACATGTGTTATGTGTTTGTTAGGTGCTAAGAAAGATTTTAATTAATGATTATTAGAGAAGAAGCTTGATATAGTGCTAATTATGTTATTAGGTCTGTAAAAGATAAATTTTGGGGGCAGGCATCTTTTTCTTAGTAGATTTATGTTTATTATAATAAGAAATTAGAGCTGCATGATTCTACTTGATATATGGATTATGCCTTTTTTTCTTTTTTCAATTTTTAGATGAAACGTTCTGTTAGCCATCCTGGTTCTTGTGCTTCGGAGAGGTAAAATAACTCCTTTTTTAAACCACATTCTCTCAATTATACCTACTTAGGGAAATTCTTTGGCCATTAACAAGTGGTGTGGAATGGGAGTTCTGTGTGGGTAATGTCTGGTCCTGATTTGCTCAGTCTTACGTCTCTCAATGTATATCTCTTGGTACTTAGCATCAGGGCCTGGCCCAGGTAAATGGTCAGTAAAGAAAAAAATGAATGAATGAATTAACCAGCAAGGTAAAGTATCTTGCTAGCTATTTATTGTACCTTTTTCAGATGTTTGAAATACAGTCATGCTGCATAATAACCTTTTAGTCAATGACAGACTGCATATACAGCAGTGGCCCCACAGGCCCTTCAAGATCATAATGTATTTTTACTGTATTGTTTGTATGTTTAGATGCTCAAATACTTAGCATTATTTTACAGTTGCCCACAGTATTCAGTATAGTAGTAACACGCTTTGCAGGTTTGTAGCCTGGTGATAGTAGGTTATACCGTATAGCAGGGGTCCTCAAACTATGGCCTGCTGAGGACATTTATCCAGCCCGCTGGGTGTTTTTGCCGCTGCTGCCTGTCCTGCTTAACAGCCGACTTGTCCCGGGGCCCTCAGTCCAGCCCTCCAACGGTCTGAGGGACAGTGAACTGGCCCCCTGTTTAAAAAGTTTGAGGACCCCTGCCTAGGTATGTAGTAGGCTATTCCAGCTAGGTTCGTATGAATCTCTGCTCTATGATGTTTGCAGGATGACAAAATTGCCTAAGGATAAATTGCTCAGAATATATTTCTGTCGTTAGAGATGCATGACTGTATTTCAAGTGGTGGCTAAATAGAAACTCCTTTTTAATATATCAAGTCTCCACATTTGAGGCTTATTTTACTGCAGCCTTTTATAACACCTCATATTCATGCTGAGCTATTGTTTTAAATTAAGAGAAAGATCCTGCTGAGAAGACAGAAAACCACTTGGTATTTTTAAGTATATGTTTGTATCAACACATTTCAAAAATTTACTGTCTAGATCTTGCCAATATCCCAGAATTGTTACACCATTCTTTATTTTGTTAGGTAATATTCTTTTAAGTTGTATGGTTGTTGTTTTGGTTCTTTGGAAAGTGATTTAATTATAGAGAGATTAGCATTTATTTCTCTATATTAAGACTAAGTGCTGGGCCCTTACTGTTTTGTCATATTTTTCTTTTCCCTGATGATTATGTAATCTTTGATAGAACTATCATATAATCAGAGGAGATCAGTGATGGATATATCCAACCCTGTCAAGGGATAAAGGGTTCTGTCACCTGAATTTTCCAGAAAAATGTAGAAGCTTAATGAGCTTTTGGCAAACTTATATTTTTATAATAGAAATTTGTCTATTGGCTCGGCACCTGTGGCTCAAGTGGCTACAGTGCCAGCCACATACACCTAAGGTGGTGGGTTCGAATCCAGCCTGGGCCTGCCAAACAAC